GAGAACCCTGTGGGGCACAGTTCTACTCTGACACACACGGGGGCGCCATGAATGGGATCTACTTATGAAAATTCATCCACTGACAACACTGTGGGGCACAGTTCTACTCTGACACACACGGGGACACCATGAGTTGAAGTCAACTCTCCAGTACCTGGTCTTAGGTGTCTCTCTGGCCCTGTGAAAGGCTTAGGTCTCCACAGTGAACTGAACATCTGCCTGCACTAACTATAAACCACAGACATTTATTGAGCATCTACTATGCAAAGATTAAGTTAACTAAATTGGGTGAATACTCATTTGAATGTCAACATCGAATCTGTTTTTTGATGAGTTTTTTGTTGTTCTTGTGTTATGGCTCATGTCACTTTATTTCCATATTCAGATTTCTCTTCCTAGGGGAAGCCAAGTCTAAAATCTTTTCCATTTTCACGGCTATTGTTTGTATGAGGGTGGTAGATGTTCTATGTGTGAAACCCTCAACTCAGTATTGGGTCTCAAGGAGTGGCCCCAAACTGTGGTACCAAAAGTATTGTATTATCCCATTCCCATCTCAGGAATTCTCAGGATATGTCAGCAGTAGCTATCTACCAGTGCAGGACAACAAGGATTTATGGTCTCATATGTGGGGAAGGAAAAAGACATCAGATCAGTAAAGAAGGTGGGAATGGGAGTACATTTCAGGGATAATTCGGCAAGTTCTCACATAAGGGTTCGTGGCATATGAGAGGGGGAGAACACGGAAGAGGCATAGGGAGCCAAGTAGGATCCTAGATGGCATCCTTAGTCAAGATGGAATCACCAAGAGTTGAAGTTCTCTTATGAGCTTGGTCCTAGGAAAGGAAGGTTGAGAACACCAACTAGGAAAGGAAGGTTGAGAACATCAACCAATTAAAAACTTCTCAGAAAGGCCCAGGAAGCCTGACATAACACAAATTGCTTTTAAGAATGTTCCAGAACATGGCTGCCTACAGAGGAGGCGGCCATTTCGACCGGCATCATGGCTGCCCTCAGACCCCTGGTGAAGCCCAAGATTGTCAAAAAGAGGACCAAGAAGTTCATCCGGCACCAATCAGATCGTTATGTCAAAATTAAGCGTAACTGGCGCAAGCCCAGAGGCATTGACAACAGGGTGCAGAGAAGATTTAAGGGCCAGATCTTAATGCCCAACATTGGTTATGGGAGCAACAAGAAGACAAAACACATGCTGCCCAGCGGCTTCCGCAAGTTCCTGGTCCACAACGTCAAAGAGCTAGAGGTGCTGTTGATGTGCAACAAATCTTACTGTGCAGAGATTGCTCACAACGTCTCCTCCAAGAACCGTAAAGCTATCGTGGAAAGAGCAGCCCAGCTGGCCATCAGAGTCACCAATCCTAACGCCAGGCTGCGCAGCGAAGAAAATGAAT